GTCCGCGCGCATGTCGAACTCCTTCAAAAGCCTTCATCTCTGACGCGAGGACATCGTCATTGTTATCGGCGGGCGTGATCATAATCGACGCCGTCACTGGTCTTGCCGTCGTCATCGCCACCTTCGTCACCGCAACTGCACTCATAATCGTGTACCAGTGTCGGCGCCGCCATGATACCGAGCCCGCCCAAGTCATCGACTCGCATTGAAGTGCCCCGTGGGAAATGCCCGGCGGTCAGCGCCACCGTGGCCGCGTTGGTCGCGCCAAACGAGTTGGCTCCTGTGCGCCCGAGCGTGTGCGGTATAGCGCGGCCGCAGAAGTACACCAGCCAACTCCAAGCACTCATCTCAATCGCCGCCGCGTTGGTTTTGCAAACCAAGTTGCGCGTGGGTGGGTGGGATGTTCGCAACTGCGTGGAATGTGCCAACTCTTTTGTAACAACCAATTGGCCAGGCAGATTCTCTTTTCTAAAGGAATAATCGCATGGATTCCCGTTCCCCTCCCGCGCCGGAATCAGCGGTCCCCTCGTTCGTATTGCAGATTGCATATGGTTGTGCCCCATCATCCATCTTAGGTGCAAGCTCGTGCCATCCCAGAAAGGCTGGCATCGGCACCCCATTTCACCCTTGGAAACATTAGTTTCCAAGAGTCCATTGCAAGAGATGAGACGAAGTGCGTTGCGCGCGCGTTGTCACGCGCGCGTGCCGAAAACATTCAACACTTGAAGTGTCGCAAGGAGTTCAAAATCGAATGTTCCGAACAGATATGGAAACACGCGGTTTCGCAACACTGAGTTTTCAAACACTCGCGCTCGGCTTTAATGAATACTGATGACACTGTGTATATACAAGAACAAATTTAAACAATCACAGTCTCCGCCAAAAAGAGTCTTCGCGCGCGCGTATCAGAATCGCTGAGACGCCTTTGCCCGCGTGTTGTCGCATCAGTTTTATGCAACAAATGGGACGAAATGCGCGCGCGGGCGTGGTCGCGCGCGCATTTCGTAATCCTTCAAAAACATTGGGTTTCGGAAAGGTTTCAATTCTCCTGAAATCAGATTAAAAAAACACATGGCGGTGCAACGAACACATTCAAACAACGGTTGCGCTCGGGCTTTTGCGAATGCTAAAGGAAACCGTGGGTGTCACAACGTTGTCATAACTTGCTATCGGACGGGCATTGCGCGCGCATGTCGGAATCGCTGGAACGCCCTTGCGCGCGTGTTGTCGCATGGGTCTTTGGCAACATATGGGGAGACGTGAGCGCGCGCGTGGTGGCTCGCGCGTGTCGAATTCATTCAACAACCTCACGCTTCGTAGTAATCCGTAAGGGCTTCGCCCCCTGCCGCCGGCCCCCTCTCTCGGAGAATGGGCCATGGAAGAGCTAAGTCATGAGGTCTTGGCGCTGTTGTGAAGCAGTATCGAATCTTCATGCGAAGCCGAACGCAATCAGCAAAACCAACTGATCACAAGAGGGGTTACCACACCTGGCGATTGGTGGATCTGCGTGAGGGGTGGCACCGAATTTCAGAAATGTGGCAAATCCCCTGTGTTTTTGGACCCTGACCCCGCGGATCTGCGTGAGGGGTGGCACCGAATTTCAGAAATGTGGCAAATCCCCTGTGTTTTTGGACCCTGACCCCGCGGATCTGCGTGAGGGGTGGCACCGAATTCCAGAAATGTGGAAAATCCATGTGTTTTTGGACCCTGACCCCGCGGATCTGCGTGAGAGGTGTCGATTTCGAGCCCCCCCAGCAATTCAGACAACGCGCCCAGGGGGTGCTAAAAATCCCGTTTGGGCCTCCCCCCCCCTCGCGCGGTCAACCAACTAGTTACAGTAACCAGCAAGAAGTCAACTAGTTACAGTAACCAGCAAGAAGCAGAACTGTAACACTGGAAACTACAAACTACAACTGGTACAGGAAACTGCGAACCCGTGCCTCGCAGCCTGGTGGCCCCACAAGGGGGCCGGCGGATTTCAAAATCGAGTGCCGCGCAACGTATAACAAACACATGGTTTTGCAACTACAGTTTCCGAAAGTGCTTGCGCTTGCGATCCTGCGAATTCCTAAGAAACCGTAGGTTGTCACAATTTTCATTCGATTCTGCCAAACTGCCCCCTTTGCGCCGCAAGTCAACATCGTTCGAACGTCTTTGCGCGTGGGCTGGGGGGGGCGGCTTGTATCACATAATGCCATGCGGGCCGCTGTTGCGCGTCGGCCGCGCACACATGTCGAGCTCTTTCCGAAACCCCCATCACCGACGCGAAGACGCTGTCATCGTCGTCGGCGTGATCAGTTTCGCCGTCGCTGGCCCTGCCGTCGCCGTTGCTATCATGGTGGCCAGCATCGCCACCATCATCATCGCGTCTACCCTTGTCGACGATGTCATTATACTGCGCCCGTCCAAGTGACCGACTCGCGCTGAAGTGCCCGTTGGGAAGTGCCAGGCGATCAGCGCCACCGCGGCCGCGTCGGTCGCACCGCACTAGATGGTCGCTGCGCGCGCGAGCGTGCGCGAGCTAGCGCAGCCGCAGAGATGCACCAGCTAACTCATCGCAGTCGCCGTCGCACGGGTTTTGCAAACCAGCTTGCGGGTGGATGGGTGTGATGATTGCGCGATCAGTGGGCTGGACAACCCAGTGCGAACAAACATCATTTGCACCACACAGTTTCCACCACGTAGTATGATGTAACACATTTTTTGTGGTCCAAATTAACCAGCATAGTTTGTTCGAGTTTTGATTCGACCATCCTGTATTTTTTCCCCGGTTGATTTTTTCTATGCTTATTTACGAATGCGCCAGCGAACATGATATTTACCCACGGGGCAGCCACGCGACAACCCACACGACAACCACAAAACACGTCGCGGGATAGCCGACGCGATCATTCCAAGGACAATCAGCGAGACCACCTACGGGACAACTACGGGATAACTAACATCAGGGAAGCGGAGACGGGGTAACGGGCGGGGTAACAGCAAAGGGGGGAACAGGAAATGGCCCGTTCGAGGCCACAAATGCGCACTTTGTTGCAGTGCGGTTATTTCCGGTTTCCGCATTCATTGCAGCATCTACCAAATGTTGTTTGCGTTGAAAACTTTCGCCTGTTGTGCTGCAAGTTTTTGGTTTGGGCCATTATTTACCTGATCTGTGGGGCTTGTTTGCAGTTTTCCCGCAAGTAGTTGCAGAACAAACGCAGTGTAGTTTTTGTCGCATCGCAGAACAATTTCCGTGCAGTTTTCTGTTCTGGCCGTTGCTGTTTCTCCGTCTGGATTTTATGGTGGGTTTGTTACCCCGTTTAGGCGTTACTTGGTTTAGTTTTTCCTGCTAACTCAACCCACGGGACAACCGCAGGACAACCCAATGGACGACCATGGGACATCCATGAGACAGCCCATGGGACATCCTGGTGGACAACCACGGAACAACCAACAACCCAGGGGACAACCCATTAGACAACCACGGCGCAGTCACGGGACAACCACGGGACAACCAACGGAACAACTTGCGGGGCTGCGCGAGGGCCACGGATAATTTTGATGTCTGAGTTGGCCGCACCCTCGGCCGACACATCGTCGTTTCCGCGCATCCCCGTCTCGGCCGCACGCGCGACGCGCGACACGAACCGAAACCGAAACCGACTTCCCGGTCGGGTTGATTTGTTTTCGCCTTAAAAACAGATTTCCGAGTCCAAGCTGGGTGGGGCTATCTCGCGCGCGGCGTGGGGGCATGGGATCGCAGATGGCGTTGGTGCGGTGTGATGAGGGCGTGACCAGATGCGGGGGAGTTGCTTTTTTGATGCAGTGGTCTCTGTGCGTGTGCAGAGTCTTGGCCTGGGGGCTAGGGGCCAGCTCCTTGACCCTGGCCCTGTCTGCTCGCGCAGATGCAAGGTGTCGCATATCAGACCAGAGGTGTCATAGTATGGCACCGCATCGCAGCGCGTGGCATATACACTTGCAGACCATTGGTTGTAGCAAAATGTACCTTTGCAGGGGAGAATGTTGTATGGGCATTGTGTTGCATCGCACGGCACATCGCATAGCATTGTAATTATCATTTACAGCATTGTGTCGCCCAGCATTGCACTGTCTTCGCGATGTGTTTTATGTTGAGTGGATGTTGCATTGTTTGTGTATGTCCTTCGTGTCAGTCTGGTTCTGCAGTACTTTTACACTGCACAGCTTTGCTTTTGTATATTTGTCCGTTGCGTTGCCTTGCATTTCTGTGTTGCGTTGGATTGCATCGGCATTGCTTTCGCCTTGCTTTATCCATGCTTTGCAGTTGCGTTGGGGTTTCTACTTGTTGTTTAACAATGCTCGACAGTGCACTGCCTTGCATTGCAGAGCTCGTGCATGCCTGTTTCATTGCAGGGCGCGGGTATCGCATCGTGTTGCACCACATTGTTGTCCGTTGCGTTACGGTGCATTGCGCGTTTGGCAGGTGTTGCATTTCTGTTGCATTGCATTGTTTGGTTTCTGAGCAACTCATTGCATTCCATTGCGTTGTGTGTGTGTGTCTTTGCATGATTTTCACATGCATTTCATTGCGTTGCGTTGAAGTGCATGTCCTTCCATGGCGTTGCTTTTGCGCTATGTTCAGCTTGCGTTTAATTGTATGTAGGTTGTCCTGTTTTCGTCTTTGCGTTGCAGAGAGGAGGACTGGGCCAGCTTGAGCCACCTTGTGGCACTTTTGAGGGAACGTTGGTCTATCTGGGACGACATATTCGCCAACGAGGCCCGTCTTGGACGCTGTACCACCTCGCGCCCCTTCCGTCCAGACCCCTGGGGAGAAGGCAGGGGGAACGGTTACCCCCTACCAGTAGGTGAAGGAGAGGCTGTTTTGAAGGAGCTGTGACTGGACGAGGCTACGCCCAGAGGGCTGATGGGATTGGCATCCACGATGGTTCCCAGCATCGACTGGCCTGACGTGCGCTCACTTGAGCAAACGTTCTGTCCATCTCTGTGTCATATCTTGTTACGGATGGAGATCTCCCCAGGTCCTCCAGAGTGAGTACGAGGGCCACATCGAGAACGTCTGGTTGTGTGGCTCAAGCGCCTTCGCAGCAGCCGTGCAGGTGGTGCACGGGGTGCTTGGGGAAAGCTGTTCATCTCGCATTCTTGTCTCAGTTGATCCATGCTTTGGCCCGCTCGTAGTGACGAGGACACGCATGACGACATGTGCTTGGTAGTGTGTTGGTCCGAACTGCTTCCGATGAGGACGATGGTGATGACGAACTCGGTGATAACGATGACGGCGGTGTCGACGGTGATGACGGTGATACTATTGATTCTGATGTATGTGCTGTTGTTGGCGCTGAACTCGCACTCTTTTGCAAGCTCAATGCAGCTATGCACAGGCCGATGAGGCCAAGAAGCATAATCACAGTCCTCAGCAGCCTGTGCTGAACGGCCAAGTGGAGGGAGAACGGAAGGAGGAGCAAGCAGACGACGAACGCGCATGCGAGAACGCGCAGGCGAGAGGCCGGGCGGCCGGGGCCTGAGGGGCGATGCGGCCGGTCTGGCAGGCAGGAAGGGACATAGGGGGGAGACAGCAGGCACGGGGCAGGTGCGAAGGGGGCGAGGGAGGAGGAGCAGGGGGAAGGGGAGGGAAGGACGAAATTACCCGAGACGTGCTTCCCCCCTAGTGCACGTGAGGCGACTACGGATGTGAACTCTTCATGCACAAGAACACATGTCGAGATATGCAACATTTGCGAAGGCGATACAAGGTCCAGCCACGCACGTCGCACACCTGCGCAACATAGAACGGAGGACAATCATGGAGGAGGGGGAGGAGGAGGAGGAGGAGGAGGAGGAGGAGGCGGAGGAGGCGGAGGCGGAGGCGGAGGCGGAGGCGGAGGCGGAGGCGGAGGCGGAGGCGGAGGAGGAGGCGGAGGAGGAGGAGGAGGAGGCGGAGGAGGAGGAGGCGGAGGAGGAGGAGGAGGAGGAATAATAATAATAATAATAATAATATTAATAATAAGAATAAGAAGGAGAAGACTGATAATACTAATAATACTAATAATATTAATAAGACGATTCAGCATAAGAAGAATAATACGCAGACGAATAAGAATAATAATAATAACTAGAAGAATGATGATACTAATAATAATAATATTAATTGTAATAATAATATTAATATTCATACTGATAATAGTAATACGAATAATAAGAATGATAAGCCGAAGAAGACGACTACTAGTAATACTAATAATCATAATAATAAGAATACGAAGCAGACGAAGGCGACTACTAAGCAACTTAATAGCAAAACGAATAATAACACTAAGAATAATAATACGAGTAATAAGAATACGAATAAGACCACGACTAATAACGATACTACTACTAAGAATACTAATACTAATAATACGAATAATACTAGGAAGAAGAATAACCATAATAATAAGGGCAATAAGAAAAACAATAATAACAATAATAATAATAAAAAGAAGAATAACACATACGAATACTACTACCAATAATCATAACAATAAGAGGAGGAGGAGGAGGAGGAGGAGGAGGAGGAGGAGGAGGAGGAGGAGGAGGAGGAGGAGGAGCAGGAGGAGGAGGAGGAGGAGGCTTGTGTCAGGAGAGGGAGACACGCTACTGATAATAGCATCGACATGCGCTACATCTGCTCAATTCGCCCGCGCTGCCGCTGCAGGTAACGGGCGCCTAGGGAGGCTGGGAATTGACCGCTGAGGACATCGCCATGCGCAACGTGACGCTCCAGCGCCCTGCGCTCTGTGATGCAACAGCGCCGCGCGCTGACTGAGGTCAGGCAACCGTCTGGGTGCTCGTGACCACCGACTCCGCTGGACCACCTACGAGCAACGAGCGAGGCGACATTTGCTCAGTTCGCAGCCACCCAGGGAGCAGAGAGGTCTTGTCAGGGTGCGAGTGGCCCCGGATCCGCTTGACCTCCCAGGAGTCCAAGAAAGTGGCGGCAGTTGCGCAGGTTCGCAGTCGCCCAGAGGGCAGCGAAGTCCCGCCTGCTTGGCCCGCGGCTCAGCTGGACCTCTGAGGCATCCAAGAACACGGCGACGGTTGCGCAGTTCGCATCCATCCAAGGGAGCAGCGAGGTCCCGTCTGGGTGCGCGTTGCCCCCAATTCCGCTTGGATCCCAGCCGCCTACGAACGTGGCGGCGGTTGCGCTGTTCGCAGCCACCCAGGGAGCAGCGAGGTCCCCTCTGGGCGCGCGTGCGCCCCCGGCTCCACTGGACCTCCCAGGATCCTACGAAAGTGGACACAATTGCGCGGCTCGCATCCACCCCAGGAGCAGCGAGATCCCGTCGGGGTGCGCGTGGCCCCCGACCCCGTTGAACCTCGCAGGAGAGCACGAACGTGGCGACGGTTGCACAGTTCGCATCCACCCGAGTGAGCAGCGAAGTCTCGTCTGGGTGCGCGTGCGCCCCCGACCCCACTGGACCTCCCAAAGGGCAGGAACGTGGCGACACTTGCGCAGTTCGCAGCCACCCAGAGAGCAGCGAGGGCCTGTCTGGGTACGCGTGGCCCCCGACCCCGCTGGACCTCCCAGGAACCCACGAGCATGGAAACAGTTGTGCAACTCGCCCTCCCAGGAGAGCACGAACATGTCGACAAGTGCGCAGCCCGCGGCCAACCAGGGAACGGCGCGGCTGGAGGCCAGGAGAAAAAGAGGAATGGGTATTACAATGCCCTACCGTAACGAAAGCCCAACACAGGAAGGTGGGGAAAATCAACAGCAGGCTGACTGGATGGGCCAAGGGCCATGAGAGGGTCAACCTTAGACGAGGATACGGCCGCTTCGGCGACGACACCAGCCAGGCGGCAGCGCTGGCGGAACGCTGAGGCTGGTGGCTTTCGGAGTTGGCGTGACGGGTGGGGTGGGCGTCGGGTTCGTCGGGGTGGCCAGGGTCGCCGGGGCTGTCGGGGTCGTCGTGGGGGACGGGGTGGTCGTCCAGGGCTGACGGGGGCGAGCTGCTGCTTTGCGCCTTGGTTGGCAGGGGCTTTCTTCGGGCAGTGCTTCCCGCCCTGCCAAAGCCCGGCCCCGACTCCCCCCGGACGACGGGGCGTTCGTACTGCCCAGCAAAGGTGGGGGCGGGCGGGGGGCGGACTGGGGGCGACGAGCGCCGGGGAAACCTATTGCCGCGTCTGCCGCGGCCGAGGCCGTGCGGGCTACGGCCGCCCCCGTTCCTCCAGACTGAGACCGACAGCGGCTGAGTCGGCCAGTGGCGCCGGCGTCGCCGCGCGACCTGTCGACGCCGCCCGCCAGGGCGGATTGCGCCGACCACGAGATGGCCGTGCCTGCCCACCAGCCGCCGCCGCCGGTCGGCCCACGGGGCGCCGCGGGTGCCGCGCCTGGCTGGGTTGCCGCTCTATGTGTGGTGTACGGGCTGGGCACGCCGAGTGTTCGCTGATGGATTGGTGGGCGAAGACATGGCCCAATCGGTTTGAAGCAGGGAAGCGGGGGGCACTCTGGACAAATAGTGGTCGTTGATCCCCCCATGCCTGTGCCATTGTTTTTTTTTTGGCGTGAAGTGCCGCTCTCGGCTTCGCGCCTTTCCTTGCCAGGGAAGCTCTTGAATGTCCAACGGTACGCTGGCGGGCCCTGGCTGCAGCAACGAGGTCGCCCGCCCGAAATTGTCCTTACAACTTGTTGAGGAGTCGCACGCTTGCTGCTCAGGGCTGGAGCTTCCGATCTGGAAATCTGGCCAACGAATGCAGAAATATCACCATCGTCGCTCGGGAGTTCTAGGTTCGGCCCCCCCGGCTGGGTCCGCCAGCCCAACCTCGTCCGTTGAGGACCGCCCGCCAGGCCCGCCCGATCCGCCTGTCGGGTCCGCCCGTCCGTTTGCTCGGAATGCTTTCCGCCCCGCCCGAAGGCCGAAGGTCCACCTGCCTGTCCAGCCACCCCCGTTAGCGCCTGTCGGTTCGTCTGCGTACAAGCCTGCAAGGCCTCGTCCTTGCCGTCGTCGTCGTCGTCGTCGTCGTCGTCGTCGTCGTCGTCGTCGTCGTCGTCGTCGTCGTCGTCGTCGTCGTCGTCTTCGTCTTCGTTTTCGTCTTCGTCTTCCTCCTCGTGCTGCTGTTCCTGATCCACCCCCCCTCCCCCTCTTCGTCTCCTCCTCCTCCTCGTCTTCGTCCTCGTCCTCATCTTTTTCGTCGTCGTCGTCGTCCTCCTTCTCCTCCTCCTCCTCCTCCTCTTCCTCACCCTGTTCCTCCTTCTCCCGCTGTGTCCCTTGCCCCGCCCCTTCTCCAGTCATCCCAGCCCGTCCTCCCCTCAGTCCTCGCTCCTTTTCCTCCCCCCAGCTCCCGTGTCCCGCCCCCTCCCCAGTTTTCCTGGCCCTCCCTCCCTCCCCCGTCCTCGTTCCTCATCCCCCTCATCCCCGACCCCTTCCGTTGGCAGGCGGCGCTTTCGCCGGGCTCTCCCACGTGGCCGCTGCAGCTGGCTGGCGAGGACAGCGGCAAGGCGCGTGGGGCCCAACGGCGCCCGAGGTAGGGGGCAGTCACACCGCGATTCCCCTGCCTCCTCCTCCCCCGCCCTCCTCCCCGTCCTCCCCCTCCTCCTCCTCCTCCTCCTCTTCCGTCTCCTCCTCATCCTCATCTCCCTCCTCCGTCTCCGACTCCTCTTCCACGTCTTTTTCCTCCTCCCCCTCCTTCCTTCTCCTTCTCCTCCTCATCCTCCTCCTCTTCCGTCTCCTCCTCATCCTCATCTCCCTCCTCCGTCTCCGACTCCTCTTCCACGTCTTTTTCCTCCTCCCCCTCCTTCCTTCTCCTTCTCCTCCTCTCCTCCTCCTCCTCCTCCTCCTCCTCCTCCTCCGCCTCCCGCATGGTTCACTGCTTCTTATCCGCCTGCTCTTCCTCCCTCTCCTCCTCAGCCTCCGCCTCCCCCCTTCCGACTCTTTCTCTCGCCGTTCTTGCCCCGTCCTCGGGAGGAGGATGAGCAAGAAGAGGAGCTGGGTGGTGAGGGCAAGGGAAGGAGGAGGGAGCGGGAAGGGGGAGAGGGAGGGGGGAGAGGAAGATGAGACGGAGGAGGAAGAGGAGGCGGAGGAGGCGGCGGAGGAGGAAGAAAACAGAGGCGGAGGAGGAGACCCGCCATGGAGGAATCCCCGATCCCAGGGCCAGAGCCGAAACCGATGCCAGGCGCGGGAACCCCCAGTGGATTGTCTTCGACCAGCTTCCGCCCAGGTGTCGATGCTCCCTGGGGATTAGCGACGGGCACCCGCGACATAGCGGCTTGGACCGAGAATAGTTTTCCAAGGACCGACCACAACGCTGTTTAGCTTGGTTCGGGCCCTTGTTTCGTTTTTCGTTTTGTTTTTCGTTGTCGTTTCGTTACGTTGTCCGTTGTTGTTTTGAACGCCCCGTTTCGTCGTTCGTTCCGTTTGGCACCGGCTTCGTTCAACCGTCCGTTTTGAACGTTGGGCTTCGTTCCGATACTCGTTGTGAACGACATTTCGTTCTAAACATCGTTGTGGTCGGTTCTTGGTTTCCACCCTCACGGCCGCCACGTCTAGCGCCGCCGCTGTGCCATGCGCTCGTGGTTCTCGCGGCTCCGCTCCTGCCGTCCTTTCCGCGCTGGGTGGGTCCGTGTTCGCTCTCAGGTGGGGAGCGTCTACAGGCACGGCTGCTCGCCCTGGGGAGCCCTCGAGAGATTCCGGTCAGGCGGCACTCCAGGAGAGGTCCGGGGAGCAGCGGTACCGGTTTCTTGTCTAAGTGCACGGCCACTCCCTCCCTCACCCCCTCCCCTCTCCCAGGAGGGAGGAGAGGAAGAAGAGGCTGCAGGAGGGTAGCGGGGATGTAGGTGGTGGTGTTGTACCTTGTTGGCGCCCAAACTTTGTGTTTCCCCGCGCCGACCTCGTTGGCGGGGCGGTCGATCACCTTGCGCTCGTTGGCATCCACAGACGCTCCACTCTTCACCAGGGCCCGCAGCTGCGCGATGGAATCACGGCCGTGGCCGCACTCGTGCCGCGGTCCTCGTCCTTGCTCGCTGACCTTTCTCGATCCTATCGGCGGCCTCGTCCATGCCCTCCTGGAGCGAGAGCACTTCTTTCATTTCCTGGTGATGATGGGCGTGACCATGGGGTGGTAGAGGGGTGGGGGGGATGGGGCCGGTCACGTCACGATCCGCGCCAGCGTCGTCTGGGAATGCTTAGGACTGGCTAATTCCTACACGGCGCCGGCGCGAATCGTGACGTGACCATGCCGATCACGGAATAACAAGACTGGAATGAATTTGGCGCCGTCGCAAATTTTCCTAATTGTCGCCTTTCTTTTGGCCCCCCTCGCTGACACCCTTGTGAAGCCTCGTCTCGTTCTGTACGCTGTGGCTTGCACTCCGTCATCGATTTCGTTTGCGCCTCTCTCCAGCGGCCGCCACCAATCCTGCGCCGTCGCAGTCTTGGCTAGGCTGACGTCTGCCCGGCGGTCGCCGTCCGCGGCGCTGCCGAGCCCGCGGCGGCCGCACGAGTCGCGGCCATCGCAGCCGGCGGAGTCGACCGGATGATGTATTGTGTTGGATCTCGTTGTCACCGGCGTGCTCCTCGATGCCGGTGTGGATCGGACCCGAGTGATGGGCCTGTTTTCCACCACCACCACCACCATAAGTTGGAGGGGGGAAGGAGGTGGAGGATGAGGAGGAGGAGGACGAGGAGGAGAAGGAGGAAGAAGAGGGGGAGGAGGATCCGGCGGTGCAAAACAAGCCCACCACCGAGATGTCGGCGGCGGGTTCATTCGTGACGCTCTGCAGGAGCTTGTGGCCATCGCGCTTCTCGGAGCCGTCTGGCGCGCGGGCGTCGGCGCACGGGTTGCCGCGCCCCTTGAGATCTCGGAGCCGCTGCTTTCCACCCCTGGGCCGTAGCGCGCTCCGCGTAGCCGTGTTGCTCTGCGGAGGCCTGGGAGCCGCCCGCTCCCCACCTCACCGCCCATCAAACCACCCAAACCCAACCCGAAGGCCTCGATTTACCCTCCATTTCCAGAGGGGGGTTCGGGGAACATGGACGAAAACACGTGTGGAATCCATAACCCCCCCCCAACCCGAAATTCGGGTCTTCGGGTTAGGTTGGGGTGGTCAAGTAGGTCGTCACCACCCCAGTCAGATTCCGCCTCACGGGGCCACGTCCAGTGTACAAACAACCACGCCCCAGGGAGGGAATTTTGAATACCGAACCCGCGACCAGGACCCTCGACCACCCCCCAGGGGTTCTGGGCACAGTATACAAACTTCCCGGGCGGCGTGGACCCTCTGTGCTCACCAACAGGCACTTCTCTGGAGATGTTTGCCGCAGGCTGCCACTCCGGGGCCTCTTTCTGATACTGCAGCGTTGCCCACGTCGGGGAGGGTTGGGTTCGCCCGGGTCACTGGCCAAAGTGCCCACTAGTGGAGTTCAGAAGCCGGGCGAAGGCCGGCAGCCCCGTGGCTGCTAAAGCGGATCTCCGTGAGATGGATTCTTCTTTCCGGGAAGCAGCCTTTTTTTATTTAGTTCGGGGGCGGAAAAGAGGGGGGTGATGACTAGGGGGGGGTGGATATCATGGCGGGGGCCATGATTTTTCCCAGATTTCATGGCGCCTCTTCTTACTTCATTACGTCCCTGGCCCCCCCGCTGGGCCGCGCACATGCCGCCGGTCATGATTTGCACCCCCCCCCTCTTGGACACCCCCCTCTTTGCCGCTCCCGATTAGTGAGCTGAGGTTTATTATGTTCATTTGTCTTTTTGTTCCGGGAAAACCGTTTTAGCAGCCACGGATTTGCCAGCCTTCGCCCAGCTTCCGAGGAGTCCCCGTTAGAGGGGCGCTGATGTGCACTGGGTGTCCACGTCGTCTCCGAGCCGCCACGCGCCCCGCCCCGCTTCGGTGGCCCTCGGAGTGCTCCACGGCCGCGCGCCCTCCTCCTCCTCCGCGGGCCAGGGGGTGCGGGCTAAGTCGGGCATGTCCCTCTGCAGGAGGAATATCCCAAAATAGTAAAAGATAGTCGATGGACGCTGTTTTGATCATGTTTTGCCTATTTTTGATTATTGTAATGGCCTCCGGCCAGTGCCGCCGATCCGGGGCGCTCCCGATGCGTGTGGGAACGGACGATGACGACGACGACGACCGACGACCGGGTCAACGACGGACGATGATGATGACGACGTCCCTCCTCCCCCCGCTGTCCTCCCCGGTTTCTTGGACCCCCCCCCGCTTGAGCTCGACCCCTTCCTCCGTCCCCGCTCGAGCTTCCTCCTTGGACCCCCCTCCCCGCTTGAGCTTGACCCGCCCCTCCCGTCCTCGCTCGAGCTCCCCTCTTTCCCCCTCGAATCATGGACCCCCCCCCCGCGCTGACCCCCCCCCCCGCTTGAGCTCGACCCCCCCCTCCGTTCGACCCCCTTCCCCTGTCCTCGCTCGAGCCCACCCCCCTCGATTCTTGGACCCCCCCCCCCGTGCTGACCCCCCCTCCCCCCGCTTGAGCTCGACCCCCCCCTCCGTTCCCGCTCGAGCTTCCTCCTTGGACCCCCCCCCCCGCTGAGCTCGACCCCCCCCCCGTCCTCACTCGAGCTCCCCCCCCCTCCCCCTCCATTCTTGGACCCCCCCTCCCGCGCTGACCCCCCCCCCCCCGCTTGAGCTCGACCCCCCCCTCCGTTCGACACCCCCCCTCCCCGTCCTCGCTCGAGCTCTCCCCCCCCCTCTCGATTCTTGGACCCCCCCCCCCCCCGTGCTGACCCCCTACCCTCCCCCGCTTGAACTCGACCCCCTCCCCGTCCCCGCTCGAGCTTCCTCCTTGGACCCCCCCCCCGCTTGAGCTCGACCCTCCCGTCCTCGCTCGGGACCCCCCCCCCCTCGATTCTTGGACCCCCCCCCCCGCGACCCTCCCCCCCGCGCTGACGCTTGAGCTCGACCCCCTCCTCCGTTCGACCCCCCCCGTCCTCGCTCGAGCTCCCCCCCCTCGATTCTTGGACCCCCCCCCGCTGCCCTGGTTTCTTGGACCCCCCCCCCCCGCTTGAGCTCGACCCCCCTCCCCCGTCCCCTTCCTCCTTGGACCCCCGCCCCCCGCTTGAGCTCGACCCCCCCCCCGTCCTCGCTCGAGCTCCCCCCCCCCTCGATTCTTGGACCCCCCCCCCGCGCTGGAGCGTTCACTGAATTACGTGGATAATTCGCCGGATCCCCCCCCCACCAGAGCGAAGCTTGAGCGAGCTCAAGCCCACGCTCTCAGAAACTCACACGCCAGATCGGCGGATTTTTGGGATTTTTTTTTGATTTTTCAACCAAAATCCGCCTGTAGGGGGACATGCCCGACCTAAGGTGCGGGCCCGTTGACCCGTGGTGCCGGCCGCCACGCGCACGCGGAGCTTCGGCTCGGGGTCGTGCGTGCGTTCGTCTGGCGAGGACCTCGCGCGTGTCGGGGCTCTCGGCGCAGCGTCCAGGCGTGGCGGGTCGGACGAGGATTCCGACTCGGTCTCGCAGAACGACTAGGTTTTTTCCCAACCATCCTGT